TCTACATTATTCTGACATCCACCACTAACACCTGGATAGATGGTAATGTCCAGCTATATCACTGTAATATAGGCTTATAATTTGCAAAAGCTTCCACAATAATTTTGGTTACAGATTTAACAATTCTGCCTCATTAAATCCTATTTAAATTATTAATCTTAATTTTGTAATTTTCTTCCTGTTGGTAATCTTACTTACAAAGCAAATACCGGATTAGGAAAAAAAAAGGACAAAAATAACCACACATATACCAAATGAAATCTAGGGTTTGTAATTTTGGATTAGTTATGTCTGAATATCTTTTAACTTCATCCCAGTTCATTACAGTAGCTTGATCTCAACAAGAAAAGCAGTAGCACTAAACCAGTGGGTGTAACTGCATCATCAGAATACAATGACAAGATCTCAATCTGCTAGATTAAGTTTAGCATTTATTTGTATATGAATGGAATATCTAGGATTCTTTTTATAGGTGAAAGAGGAAACAAAAGCGTTTATAGATGTTCAACACGACTAAAAGAAAAAAAAAGAATTCCTTATCTGTCTATAAGCATTACTGCTCGCTTCTATTGACATGACAAACAGAAACTTACTTTAAATAGTCTTTTTCTTCTCCCTAATGGTTTGTTTCTGAAGGCTAATCAATCCTCAGCCAATCTAGGAGTAAACCCAAACGCCCCACTTTGTCTTTAAACCTAACAGCTAGGGGGTCTCCCCCTCTAATTAATCTTACTTGTCCCTCAGCTAAGTACTGGATCAGTTTTCAGGACTATTGCATTATTCAGCGTAGCTGTGGGTGGCAGAGGAGGTTGGTAGACTGGTGTCGCATTACTCTGCGAAACAGCAAATCTGCAGAGATGGAATGAAATTAAAAGAAGAGGAGCCAAGGGCGAGGGGGAGGTATTATGATGAAATACGATAAAATGGAAGAAATAAGGTGAGCAAAAAAAAAAAAAAACTGTTAAGATGAAATATTCTCAGGCCTTTAATTTCAAATGTAAATGGCTGCTATTCAAATCACATTGTAGTTTCTTCCGAACTATGTAAAAAGCTTTAAGATTTTGTTAACAAGATTTATGCTTTGAGGTCCTTCTTGATTCAGTGACCCTGATGATTCTTATGAAAAAGATCAAAAACAGACTCTGTTGAAACAGAGTTGTTTCTCTCCACTGTCACTAAACTTGCTTTCAGATATGGGACTGTGAAACAGTTCATGGGGCACTCTGCTGGGCTTACCTAGATATCTTTTTACCCTTAGGCATTATGATCTCAACTTGACTGCATTTTTTTTAAATAACTAAAATCAAATTAGATTACACAGTAATTGAGTCACTGTAGAATGGATCTATCACATTTTAACGTTAATTTTTAATTGAATTTGTTTATTTGTATAGTGCACAATCACAACACATATTACCTTAAGTCACTTTAAAGACACAATTGAATCAGATCATACAGAGAGATTGGCTGAAATGTAAAAGGGAACATTAAACTAGCTCCATAGGTGGCTCTGTCTTGGAAAGAAACATTTAAGCAGATGAGCTCTAAGCTGGTTTTCATACCAAAAAGGATGAAGGAGACCACATAAATTTAGTGAGAGTAAAAATTAGCTATGTCTAGGAGAGAAAAACACAAAGTACAAAAAAAAACAGGACAAATAACATAATTTGTAATCTAAGGTGTTGATGGCAGAACTTTTTATGATTTCAGTAAACATAAAAAAAAACACATTTTCAAACCACGATTGCCTTTATTAAGGAAATCTACCATTCTCGATCCTCCTTAAAATTAAAAAATAATTTAACTTAAATTTTCTGAGTTTCGACATGGGTAACCAGTTATAAATTATTACTCTAAAATTGAGCAAACTTGGGTTTTAAAGTCGAACAATAACCCAAAGAATATCAGTGAGTCTAAATGGAAATTAAAGCTGCGAGTGGCATTTGGCGGCCCTCGTAGCTCAGCGACGCTCAGCCTATCGCACCTGCGGGAGCCAAGCAACCAGGACAAATCTCATCTGTTGGATAGACGCTGCGGCCATCTCAGTTGGTGGATCTAAAGTGATGTCGCCACATGACAATGTAAGCTTGCTATCAGCAGTCTATGTTTAGACACAACAGTTGGAGCATATGTTTAAAGAAAATATGCTTATTAGCTTTGTAGGAGACATTAAGTGAGACGAAGTTGCTGGGAACTTCAGTCATTAGGTATATATTTGCATCTAAGTCTTAGATTTTATTCTTGTTTCTGCAAATTCATAACAAAGTTAAACTTTTAAGTTAAACCTGAACTAAAGTACCAACAGTTCTATTTGCTTTACTGCCTCCTTTTATGATGTCTTTGCCCCTAATAGTTTATATTCCATTACTAGTCACTCTTATTTTATTCTTTAATTAATGTAAAGCATTTTGAATTGGCTCCCATGCAGCGCCACCTCCTTTCTTCTTTCCAGTAAGCCAATAAGTTCCAGACTTCACCATTAGATGAACAGAAGACATCCAAAGCTTTGGTCAGCAAGGTTTGAACTACAGTTAAAAGACATTACCTGGTCAACATCAACAGTACGTTCTTATAAAAACATTTTTATTATGCCTATTATAGAGGAGAAAACACATTAATTCCAGATATACAGTACCTTTGAGCTGTATCCAAAATACATGACTTAAATAAGTAAACACCATTTTACATGTAAAGGATTTATGAAAAATGTCACTTTATAAGTAAAGAGGCTTTAATTTATCCTGTCTTTCCAGAAATATTCTTCTAAAATTTTGAAATTATAGAGAAAATTAAAATATTTTCCAAGTTATTATCATAATATATAATCAAAAAAGGGAGAAACAGTGCCCCCCCCCAAAGCCCGTGGTTGGAAAAGCGGTGTTACACCCAACAAAAAACTATAAAAAATCATTTAAAAAATCCATAGTTTGCAGTAAAATCCCCCCCAAATTTTTTTTTGAGATGATTTACTAAATAATTCAAAGAAAGAAAAATTTTTAAACCTTAATGCTATATAGTGAGACAGTGAAAATGCCACTAAAATGCTTAAATAAGCACAGATTCATACCAAACCTGGTAATATTGACTGTTATTAAAGGATAAATAACTGGTTCGAATTTGACTTGGATTGTTTTAAAACTTTTTTTAAAACAACAATGTGCTGTAAATACACAACAACTCTTGAAAAATCGAGTGATAGACTTTTAAGAAGAGCTATGTTAAGTGTACCACCAAACAAGTAGCTATTAAAGCTATTGGGCAAATGGCTGATTTATAAGAAATAATTTTAGGAGAGTAATTCTTTTGTTGTTTGGTTCAAAATAAACGACTTCCTGTGGGGTCTAGACCATGGCCCCAGATCAACTTTTTGTAGGTACTGGGCTCATACAGATATGTGCCAAATTTCATAATTCTTGGAAATAGCATGGCTCTGGGCTGATTGATTTTCTGTTCAAATGGCCAACGATTAAGTAAGAACACAAACTCTGATGGGAAACAAATGTGTACAAAGTTTCATGATTCTTGGACTAATCATGGCTTAAGGCTGACGATTTGAATTATTTTAATTCTAGGGGGCACCGTTGTGAAATTAAGCCACAAAATATTGCTCTGAATTCCTGTTTGGGGTTGGACTAAAATAATCTCTTGTGATTTTGGTCCAGATCTAAATATTAATGAGGAAATGAGAGCCAATCGTATTTTCATGGCGAAATACCTCACTTTGTCAGGTCGCCATGGCAAGAGTTTTTTAACTAAAACTCTGTGCTTTAAACGAAGTTAGACCAACATGTTTTCTGCCTTCTTACCTAGTTTCAAGGTGATCAAAAAGTGACTTTCTTCCCTCGGGGGCAGGGCTTTGATGATGTTACCATTTGACCAGCCAGTATCGTAAAGCAACAAAAAGGGCTCCTTAATGCCTAACTTGGCTGGATTAGGATCATTTTTTTGTTAGTTATTCCATTTCAAATTTCTCAAAAAGTACCCTAACTTAAGGGCCCTGGAGGACCCCTTCAGCATGCACAAAAACTTAAAAAAAAGATCATTTCTGATCTCATATGCCTTATCTGCATATACACCAATTTTCAAGCCGATGGCTCAAAATCTCTAGGAGGAGTTAATTAAAGTTTAACTTAACAAAATTTCAAAAATAGCAAAAATCGGCCTTTGACCTAAAATGGCCGACTTCATATAGGTTTTAGAGCATACCTCCAATCTACCTACCTGCCAAATCTCAATACTCTGTGACTAACTGTTTTCCTTTTGGCCACACCCATTTTTAAGTAATTTCAAATATGTAAATTTTCGCAGGGGGACAATTTACTGCCAAGTTTGGCAACATTTTGAACATGTTAAAGCCTCCTAAAAGCCGCTTCTTTTGTACGGAGAAAAATAATAAACAGTAGAGATACAATAGCCAAATAATTCATAAGAAAGGACAAGGTTTTGGCCAAGTAAAAGTCCAGGCTTTGGTTCAGTTAAGAGCATAAATCATTCATGCTTAATAAAACTTTCTGTGGCTGATATTAGATCTCGATTCAGCAGAAGAGTGGATCAAAATTCTTCAACACACCTGAAGGCTCCTATTTCCAGATATTTCTGACACTTGATGACAAATGGCCAGGCTGAATATGGCTACATTACTGAAAAAAAACCTACAGTACATCATTTGAAAACTAGATTTGTATAAATCATTCATGTTAGGTGTGTATTGTATGAAATTGTATTTGTTGATGCAAGATATTCTGTTGAGGTTAAAAAAGAAAAACAAATGACATCTTACAGGAGGGGAGGAAGTTTTTTGCAGCAGTAATCACTGCAGTGAGTTTTCTAAACAGGTAAATGGTTGGAGCAAGGAGGAAAATTATTAAACTGAGTCTAGGGTTTGTGAGCTCTCCTGCAAACAAAACCTTCGTAAAAACAGGAAAAGTATTTTTTCTTTTTGTGTGCACATTTAAATAAAAAAAAAAACAACAACAACAACAAAACATCTAATTCTCCCCATTTCTGTTTTATTGTTGATCAATATCCATCACAGGGAATTCCTTTCTAAGATATACATCTGCCCCCCATCTCTATATGTCCCCTTAAACAAACTCCTATTCTCCACAATTACAATGGTTCAAAAACACAGTAGTCATGTATGTTTCGTACAGGTATAAACATGGGTTTTCAGGGATGCTATGATGGCAGTCGGAGCCATAGCCAGAGAGCTTTGGAATGGTTTAAGTACAATACACACACACAGCGGGTAAAATAAATCATATGCAGAGCAAGATAGGCTGAAATCAATAAACAGAAATGAAAAGCTGAATAATTCATGTGTGCTTTGATGAGTGCAGGGATCAACACCCAAACTTTGATGTCTAGCAACAAAACCAAATGATCACGAAAGGTCATTTACAGCACATTCTGCTTTATGGGTTTGCAGTGCTTACGTAATGAATGTCTTTACTCAGATCAGACATTTAACATATTATTCACATAGTATTCACAGAACAATATACATCTGTATGTACATATTCCTTCCACTCTCAAGGAAAAAAGTGTCCAGGCACTTTCTCCAGCAAGTCTGGAGCCAGATCATTAATTGTTACTCTTTAGCTTCTCATCAAAACTCAAAATACTTTATGTGTGTGTGTTTGTGTGAACAATCCTTCACACGCTCACGCCAAAATAAAGTGGACTGTGAGCAGCAAACTTTCAGCAGAGTATGTCTATAGCTGCCATTTTTCAGCTTCATTGAACTTCTGGCTTTTTCTTTGCTTATCAAGGAAGGTCCTGCAGCCAGGGTCTTCACCTCCACCAAGAAACCCCTTTATCTCAGAAGAGATGGGTGAGCAGAACACGCTTTAAGTGGTGATAATACAAAGTAGTATATATTAGTTGTTCTAGAAAAGAAGATCTATAATGTAGGCATGGGTTGGTTTCAAACTGAGGAAGGCAAATATGTAAAGCATACTCTAATTATTATTACTCATAAACAATCTAAATTTTTTTCAGCTTTGTTGCTAAAATATAATCTATTGATCATTATAACTCTACAAAAATGTATTCCAAGAAATGTATATCTATTCAGAAGAAATATGCATGAAATGTATTAGAAGGCGTAGACATAACAGAAAAATGACAAATGAGTGTTTGGATAGTTTTGCTTTTTTAAAATCAGTATTGGATTTAAAAACCTAAGTTTATGTCTAAACTCAGTTAGTGTTACTGAAAACTATAAGGTAAATGTCTTAAAACTGTAAGCTAGAAATATGTTTGTGCAGGCCTTTCCACCTTAGCTTGACATACTTTATCACTTTTTTGGGTACAAAAATTGCATGAGGCCGCTCATTCCAGCTGTGCGTCAGTTTGCACCAGTCTGGGAGATCCTTTAAGATTGGAGGATATTGCAGATGATCTACTTGATTGATTATTTAAAATACTTAACGAATAATGTAAATAAGCTAATAAGCAACAGCTAAAGTTAGAAGATCTTGCAGCATCAAATACAGTAATGTTAAATGCTGATGAAATGTGCATAATGCTACACCAAAAAGAGCTTTTTTATAACAAAGTTTTACTCTTTTGAATTCCCTACTGTAGTTCTGAAAGGCCAAAGGGACTATTCCTATTGCTGCTCTAGTTATAGGAAAATATTCTATACAGTTTTTCAAATTGTTAGATGTATGTACTAGAAATGTCTTGTCATGTATTTATATTTAAAATATAATGAGAAGACTTTCTGTCTCTTGATGATTCATCAGATTATAATCTAGGGCCAAATAATTGCTTTTCTTTTACTTGGATTGTAAACAAATGCTCCTAAATCCAAACCTTTAGCTGACTTGTAAATAGGGAGCGGACTATCTTACCTCAAATAGAGACACTTTAAAGCAGTGAACATATACAGATTAAAATTTTAACAATAAAATAGTTCAGTCCTTTCTTTAAGAATTTAACCAGACCCAGTTTAGAAATCACAAGTCCAGTCGAAGCTAAAAAAACAGCAAAATAAATTGTAAAAAAAAAAAAGTCACGATGTGACAAACAATAAAAACAAAGGAGATCATAATATCACGTAAAGTCATCAGCACCCAAGATGTTGTCCTTAAGTAAAAAATGTCTTGTAAGGTAAATATCTTTTCCTACCCGTTTAGACCTGGCCCTTCATTAAACTTAAAGCACATTACTGTAAGTACATGTCTTATTATTTTAAACATGTGTAAAGCTGTTTTGTCTCTGATTAAAAAAAAGTGCAATAAATTAAACAGGAAACCAGCCCATGCCAAGAAAAAAAAAAGTTTCTGTTATATTTAGAAATGTTGCTGGTTGGGCCAACTAATAGGATGAACCATATTCCTTATTCCGACCTCATGCAGGCAGACAGATCCGGTTGTCAGCAACATTGACCTGTAGCTGAAAAATATATATAACTCTTTTTCTTTTTTTTTTTACCCAGTATCTGATAACCATGAAGCAGCTTCTGAAGTCAGAAGTTATTCCTTTTCTTTACCATATTCTTACCAAAAATAGGATGGGAATCCACCAGTAACGCTGATGGATAAGAAGTTGTTTCCCTCTGCACAATCTTAATGCAGCTCTTTATTAATACAGTACATATTTACTCAACAACAATAACAACAACTAATTTCATGTCAAAAAATCTCTAATTCCCACACCTGAAATGTTCAAATTGAAACTGATTTAGCTTTGATAGTTTACAGAATAACCTAATAATTCAGACAACGAAATAGTAAAACCAGGTAACGCTGCACTGGTAAGACACATCACCACAGTATTCATGGAACATCAGTTTTCACATCAGCACTATGGCAGCTCAGCACAGTTTCCTGCTGATCCTTTTTCTTTTGCATGGGGGTATATAAAATACAAACAATCACTTGCATGATACAGTTCAGCTGCATGTTTGTTGACATACATCGAGATGAAGTAGAAGAACAAAGCAAAAGGATTCAAGTCAGTCAGTCAGTCAGTGGGATTGGCACTGTGAGAGTAATGAGACATGAATCTCTCTTCGTGGTACCAGAAGTCCTGCTGCGCTGCCTGGAAATGCCCGGCTGAAGCACACATGGTAATCCAGCACACACGTAAGGGCAAAACACATCACACTGCAATACTATACAGTTTATTCTGCAATGCTGCTTAATTCTGGAGAATGGAGACTTTAAGTTCGGATTCTGAATGAGCTTTTCTCCAGCAGTATAAGTTTTAAAATTCATGTTTAGATTTAAAGATTTCTTTTTTTTTTTTGGTTACCATTATACAATAAGGCAGTTTATGGTACTGTACAGAAGTCATGCCACAATCACAACGGATTGTTTTTGCAGAGAGCCATTGGGAAAAAAATTATTTACCCAAGTTTGAGTAAGTCAGCTCCAGCTTTGGAATAACCAGCCAGTCTCCATCCTGTTTGAAGAAAAATGACGCACAGCCATGGGAAACGTTCCTTAAGGTAGGGTCTGGATGTTGTATTTAGCACAAGAGGTTCAGTCCAAGAGGCAAAATAGACCAGGTGAAACAGATATATCAAAAGGAGATAAACATCACCAACAAGAAGGAAATAACTATTTTACATTAAAGGTTAAATGTTAGAACCTTTTTTTTCTCCTCAACATTCCTTCTGTTAGTTCAAGGCCGAGTCCAGAGGTCCATATTTTAAAGACGAAGGGAGGACACCGGTTGGCTCCAAAGCACATCTCCCACGTAGGAGGGAACCGCTGCAGCTGTCATAAACATTTAGCTGCTATCTGTCTTCAAAGCAGTCCAAGTACTCCAGGACAAGGTCATAGCAGAATCGATACTGGTCCTAAAAGAATAAATAAAAACACAGCCAGAAATTGTTATTTTTCTCTTTACTGTTCATTTGTAATAAAAAAAAAATTTAACTCTTTTTTCTTACCAGGGACTCCACCATGTTAGGTTTACAGTTACGTAAAGTTTTGACAGCATAAAAGATGTCCGCCATGTTCTGGTACTGGATCATCTCCAGGAGGATGTTGCAGGCACAGAAGGTCCCACTACGACCCCCACCATTGCTACAGGTAAGTATAAAAAGGATTTTAATGAATGGCAACACCTGTGAAAAACTCTTTTTTCTGATTATCTGTCAGTCTTCATCAAAAGCAGTACGCAGTGAAAGTAAAGGAATAAGATTTCATTAAAGAGCATTTTGGTATTTAAGGTTTGCAGTCTTTTTGTTGTCTTCTTTTTCCAGCAGCCACTAGCATCTTTTGACCTTAGAATTTACAAAACGACATGCTGTTAAGCAGCTTGTCATATATCTTTTCTTCCTCCCTTAAAATGATCATACAGCTATACTAGACCAGAGAGCTAAAATATCAACACAGAGTTTTACACCTAAAGCAATTCAGTGAGTATTTGAATGAGCATCATTTAGAAGCATCAATATATGGGGGGAAAGAGAGAGAGAGAGGAGGTGGAAACATCCCTTCAAAACCTTCTCGGTATATATAAGACTTAAGGAAAATGTGTTTTGCTCTGAACTTGAGATAACGTTTTAATGCTTATTGAAAGAGCTGTCAGAAATCCTCTCTTCTCATAAATACAGACTGTTTGGAGCACTTGGTCTTCGTTCAGTGGACGGTAATTTGTTGCTGCCCCCCAGGTGGGTATAGAAGTTGGATGGATAGGTATTTATAAGTTTGGCTTTATTTATTCAGGTACATTGATGGGTTGAGGTCTTATTCTTTATTCAAAACTACTGTTAGAAACTTGTCGTGTAACACAGAATGCATCCAGTATGTGTGTCTGTGTGGAAAAGGAGCGCATTGCAATTCTTAATATTGCATAATTTGCATAATCTCAACAGAATTGATCAAAACTTGTGAATGTTGATCATTGTGAAGAATTTGCACACATCATTCATACTTTTTCATAGTACATTCCTACTTTTAAAGCTTGCAAACTAGATTAAGACTGTATTGAAACATGTTTCTTCTTTTTTTTTTCCATCAAAAAAGTTATTTTATATATTTCGTACTCTTTTAGTTTTATTCTTTTGTGCTGGACTATATATAGTAGCTAATTTAACAGTTCCCAGGACACATTTACAACTCTCTGCTTCCCCCAAAGGGCCAAATGTTGGCTTAGCTTCGCATGTCTGTGGTTTATGCAATGATCTTAGATTTCAGCTGCATTCTCTCTAAATCTAAGTTCAATAGGTTCAGTAGTGGTGTAACTAATACCTTAAAAGAAAGCATCATTGTGGTGAAAAATTTGTAAAAATTTCCAGAGGGAGTGAATATAAAGCTCAGCTGCCCCACTTTCTTCCACACAAACACCTACTGCCTGTTTGACCCATTATATACTAGTGTGTCGCACTCACAACCATGACAACCAAAGCACAAGCATGGCTGCAGACACAATCACAGTGACAAGCCGTGTCATCCCACCGACACAGTCATAATCACAGCTACAGTCTAAATTAGTCAGTGCAGCTTTTGTAGTGAGACATGGATGAATCAACTCTCCAAGTTCTGTTTCTAAATGCAGAGGTTCAGAGTTGTGCATGAACACACACACAGTTCAGGGCAAATCCTGTGGCTACAAGCAGGATCATTTAAACACACACAGCATGTAGGACTGAGTCAATCTTGTGTGGATCAAAGGGAAAGGAAAAGGAGCTGCAAGTTTAAAAAAAAAAAAGTGAGGAATAGCAAAACATCACGCAAGAAAACACAAAGCTTCAAGAAATAATAGACGCTGACCCCCTGGGATCCCCTCACATGTATCATTCCAGTTAAGAATAATACAATTTTCATAATTCTCTTAGTACTTCACAGAGCAAGGAGAAAGGACAAGTCAGATATAGTTCAGCCTACTATTTCAGGCTCCGGTATGTCAGCAAAATATAGCTGGATTGCCATGAAATTTCACTTAGCTAAGTTTTGATTATCCCTGAAGGGTTTGTCCTCTGTGGTTACCACCAAATTCAATATGAGTCTCAATTTTCCTCTAAGAATAAACAATTCTTTTGATCAATAAACTACTTAGATGGGATTATTCCACAACAACTTTTAAAAGAGGAATTTAAATACCAAGAATGTCATTTATTAAAAGGCTTTTTTCCTAAAACGTCTACGTGACATTATTTTCTAACCTAATACTTAAATATTTTGTGTTAACATATGTGTTTATCTGTTAACTGTTGTTTTTCAAAGGAATGTGGAAGGGTGGTCATTCTGGGTTAGAGATAATGACCAGAGCGATTAGATGACTGGAGTCAATGCCAGTCTCAAAACAACACTGAGGATCAAAGAATCCCAGTGTTTTTCATTCATCTGCTGGAAGAAATACAAAGCAATGCAAGAAAACCTGAAAGGTGTAATGATATTGGTATAAATCTGAAACAACCTCTGAATCTCTGAAATCAAGTGAGATTCAATCAGATAGTGATTATAATGATCATAAGGATCTTCATGGCAAAACGCCCAATGACTGAGCTGGGACTGTGGAATGGTGAGAACTGATTAGCCCCAGTTCATTGAGTATGTGTTAATTTGGTGCATTAATTAGATTTTCTTTTCTGGAGATTTAAAGAGCAATGCTAACATTGTCTATAAGCGTATGGCCTTTAAAAATAATACGGCTATGCTTATGGATATGTTCATAAGGAGGGTCAGTGTCTTTCAGTGTCTGTCTTTATGTCTAGTCATCGTACCACTACAGAAATAATGATGTTAGTGCACAGTTCATGGTTAGGTTGGTAACCCATTTACTTTACTTAGCCCTATGTTTTCCAAGGCTAAAGTTGGCTAATTGTAGCTTCTGGTTTTATAATTAAACGTACAACTTTTCAAACTAGGACTAGATTATTCTAATCTAATAGCAGAATCAAACCAACCCAGTCAAGTTCAAGTTGTTAGAAAGGGCAATTGTTATTTAGTTGTTATTTGTTATGACAGAGGTAATTGGAAAGTAAATAACACAGGTAACATACAAACATACTAAGTGCCTTGCAAAACTATTCAAATTCAAATGTGTAACATAACTGTTTATGTTATAATGCAACTATATGTCAATCTACAGAATCAGATTGTGTCATAGTTGATTTAGTAGGAAAACATCAAATAAATTTGATGTTTAAATTTAAAGTAGAAAGATTTTGTAAAAACATTAAGAGCTGCAGGTCTTCTGGGTATGTGGCTATAAAATGAGACATTCTCAGATGGCCATTTTACCCCAGATAGCTTAAACTAGGCCAAACTCGATGGTTACTATTGGTAAATATCAATATCCAACTCTTACTCCCAACTTTGCATTAGATTTAAGTCTGGATTTTGAAGCCGTTAAGCTAATGCATAAATATATTGGTCCTTAACCAGGTGTATCAAACCCCAGTTATCAAGGGCCAGTACATTTAAATATTTACATCTAACAGTTGTTTCATGAGCATGACAGTAGAACTTGGTCACATCCTTAGTTAAGGTCAATCTATGGCAGATATTTTAAACTCTAATCTGATCTGAATGATGTTTAGAGAAAATGTGGTACTGGAAAGTAAATTTCATTTGCACGGAGAATGCCTTTACAGCCACTAAAAGATTTTCTTTTAGAGATGTCATGAAACCTGTGTTATCCAACTGGACTTCCATCTTCCAGGTCCCTGGGTGAAGCTCTAGTATCAGCTCACGCAATCCACTGGATCTCCCCATAAAGCTCAGCAGACCGTCTCGCTAACCAGCAGTCTACAGACTGACCAACTTCATCTATCTCCACTCCACCACCAGTTTCAGGCCTGGGGGGGAAACAGCCCTATTCTTTACTCCTGTTCACGCATATCTATCAGAATTCAGCGCTATGTTTCCTACCGAGGTCTAAGCGCCAAAAACAAAGTAATTCTATCAATACATTTCTTCTAATTGTCTTTTCTCTTCCTGTGAGTTTTTCAGATTGAATTGTATTCAGCTCCATTTATTGTCCTGTTAACACTGATCGCTCCCCTTTCCTGCTTAGAAAGCAAACCAACAACTTGATCCTGTTACCACCAGAATTCACTGTGCGGAAATGTCCAGGCAGACAGCATTATAAGTATTCCATTGCACAAAGGATTTTGCATGGAAGGTCTCATGTGACCAACATAGTCAAGGTGTTTGCTCTGTTCACTATAGATTCTCTCTCTCTAACAAATCTTAGAAGCTGATACAGAATTATAGTTATAGTGGTCTTTGAATATTATTATTGCCAACAGTAGCTGGGTTTCATTTGGAACTAATAGGACTAAAAGCAAGTATTGGTTAAAACTTTTTAAATTTGTATTTGTGATGAAAATAACCACTTGTATAATTTGTTTGTCCTTCAAATGTATGTTCTAGTTTATGTTCTTCCAGCACTTTCATTTCAACAATGATTTTGATAGTTTTAATGTGAAAAGGTTCAAAAGGTATGACTGTTAACAGCTACTGTAAATCCTATAGGTATCACACGTACAACGTTATGTTGCAGTAAAAAGAGTACAAATAGAGAGAAAGAGATTTCTCTCTGCAGTAAACAAGGCTTTAAAATGTTTAAATCAGTTCTGGGAAACAATATTGGATTTTCTGGAAGCTACATCTGTCTAATCTGATTAGGCTGTTTTTGAGTTTATAACACTTCATAAAAAAACATGCATTTGATAGAGTGCTTCTTGCATAAAGTAGAAATATGTCCTCTTTACAAAACATAAAAATAGCAGTAGGAGAAATGCTACAAGCAGCAATAAATTGAGAAACAACAGCAACGAGTGGCATGTCTGGTGAAATACTGTCCTGGTCATCAGAAATGAAAGGCAATATCTATAAAGTACTGGAGGACAATCCACTTCCTCTCTCCTGGGACAGATGCAGCAAATGTGGGTGTGGGCGACTCTGCAGCGTATACAAGCAATATTAAGGTAATCAATCGTCGTCAGTGCTTTGGCAGTGCTGGATTTAGTGTAGTTGGAGCCATCGCATTCTGTATTAAGGCATAATTGATTTGATCTGAATAATCTCCCTCCTGGTTGTCGTGTGTAACGCTGTGTGACAGCACTGAGTGATGTGTTTTCGGATGAGAGAGGGAGAGGGTGGCGGGTAAAAACGTGTGACGGGTCGGCAATGAGCTAGGCGCCCCATTCATATTCATCAGTAGGGTGTTCTCTTCAGGGGTTTGGTGTGACAGAGGCCCGTAGATACAGCATACTGCTCCATACAGTAGCCCAGCATGAAGCATTACACCAAAAATTTTATTTTCCACATTATAAAAATGCAGCCATGATGAATCGTGCAGCTTCTCAATGCACCAAATGACAGAGCAGGCTTGACACAGCCTCTGTCTCTCATCAAACAGATTTGCTTATGATGTACTGTGTTATTTTGCATTGCGCCCCTCTGCGAAGAAGCCTTATGTTTTAAATGTCATTCTTCACAAGCAGTGATTTGCCATGCTAGACCCTTTCAAAAAGGGACAGAATGTTTTTCTTCCTCCCCTCTCTGTTCTTTGATTTACAATACATTATAGATATTCTGAAATGATGACTTACAGGCAGTGCACAACAGTACGCCCTTCTCCACACTCCCTTTGCCACTTGTGCACTTGAGCCAGCAGGCTGAGGAAAGCCTTCTTGGAGTCGGGAACGTCCCGATACGCGGACCAGCGAAGGAACTGGAACTGACACACCACAAGCTGGCCTTCCTGGAGCTTTAAAACACAGATAAGATAAAATACATCAGCAAGTGTTGTAACTGAGTAGAACTTATGCCAGATATTTCTATAGTTTACAGACTTTCAATACCTAACCTGATAAAAACAGGCTGGTAGAAAGGAAGGGAATGAAAAAAAGATACATTTAGATGGATGGAGGGACGGACGTCCATCCATCCATCTAAATGTATCTTTAGATCAGAATCAGGGAGTTGTAAAAACTCTCCAAACTGCCTCCAGCCTTATCAGCTGTGCTCACTCAGCAACCTGACTGTCACATATACTGTATGAGTCTGTAGGTGTAAGTGGGCCCCGTGTTCTGTGTGAAAGAGGTCCCTGTATGTTCATAACCCTATCTTGTACAATCTCACCCAACACTTAAGGACCAGCGGAGGACTGTAACTCATGCAAATTGGGCCAGCAAAGACATTCACGATGCACTAAGGAATAGCTTCTCAGAGATGTGAATTTATACTTTCCACATTTGCACTGTTTTCTTCCACAGATATGTGCTTACAATGCACATCCTCTGTCTTTTCCTCTCTAGTGTAGGATATCACTGTCTGAAACATGACATCTTCCCTATACAGCATATAGACTAGCTTAAAGTAGTTGAGGTATGAGTTATTTCTGTCTGATTTGATTCTGCCCGTGTTGTGTTAAGCTGCCCTTTGCCTGACTGATGTGAACCGAGTAGAAAAAAGGTGCCACAGGTAGAGAAGGGGAATGACAAGGGCAACCAACTGAGGAGGGAAGGCTGCCAATCAACAAAGAAAGTCGTCGCGGATTTTATAATGGCACAGGGGAGAACACTGTGAATACAGATTCCCTCTATAATTGGCGCAATAGTTATCCTCAGAAGAATGCATGCATGTTCTTAAGCAAAGAACTGCATATGACACATAAGTGGGGGGAGCCATGTTCTGTAATCTACTATCTAAGTCAGTGTCTTTATTTAGATTATATTACAATCACTTTGTAGTTCTGTAAAAGTTTAGACAAGTTTTTGAACAAACAAAAGGAAAATCTGCTTTCGAGTGTTGGAAAATACTCTACAACTCATAAATAAATCAGCCATTGCGGCTTTAAAATTTCTTCTTTTGAGATGCTAGAAACCGCATAAGAAATAATGACATCTAGAAATTGAAAAAGGGAAGAGAATGAGATTTACGGTACGAGTGTCAATGAGCTTCCCTTAAATCTGTTCCATTCAAAGAAAGCTTGATAAGATTCACTTGTGTGGCAATTTCATTTGATGTATGAAAGCATTCACATCCCTGGTACTTTTTAACATTTGTCACCTAAGGAACAAAAAATTTCAATGTGTCTAAAATCCAATATGGCTTTAAAATTTCTGAAAATGTTAATAGTGCAGAATGTCTCATGCATTTGTATGTAGCCCACTTTTATTTTATCCCATGGCAGCAATGCTAAAAAAAATGACTTTGGTTTTATGAGAATAGAGAAACATACAGCAATACAGCAAGTCTTGGAGAAAATCAGCTGGAGCCTTAAAAAGCCTTGGAACTAAGATGAAGGTTCAATACTTTGTGTTAGAGTGGTCGAAGACTGTACCTCAAAAGATTTCATACAATGCATTTTCTGCTTGCAAACTGATGTACTTAGGTTTTCTACATCCATTCTAACCTAAATCAAGCTATTATACAAAGAAATACTGCTATACTTTTCAGTCTGGATGTGCAATACTTGAAGACACACACTCACAAAGAACAGTGGTGCCAAAAAATATAAAAAGCATAGAAAATATATATAAGTTTTTAGTTAGAATGTGACAAAAATATAAAAAAGCTTAAGGTGTATTACTTGATTTGCACAGCATTGCTTAAAGTACTGTGCAGAAGTGTTGTTCCTCAAAATTTTCAAAAAGTCAGATTTATAAAGTTGTCTGAATCAACTTTTAATCATTAGTTTGATATGCTTTTAAAGAAATAAGGGCTGTATAAAGATTTTTACAGTACTCTTGCTTTTTACTTAACTGCTACAATCTAAAAACTTCCACATACATTATACCTATAAATATCCGTCATAATAAATCAGATACACACAAACAAGAATTCAGACTGAGAGATATTTTATGTTTTATCCATCATCTATTTTTCAGGAGCAGCTTTTGCGGCTGTTTAAATTATTTTTGGAGAAATATATGATTACATTGCCAGTGAACACAGCTAATGTAGCTCTTAAAAGGTTGTTTGAAACAACATGTCCTCTGCAGCAGACTTACCCTGGTGACGTTCTTGACCCTAAACAGCCGGGTAATAACATCTTCATCAGCCGACATGGACAGAAACTCCACCTCCATGGGTCCGTACTGCTGTAAACCGGGCTCAGGCCAGTATTGCACACATGGCTGTGGAAAGAACAGGGGTCACAGAGAGAGGTAGTTTCATTAGTGAACTATTCTGACCTGTACAGCTTTAAAAATTATAAAGGAAGAGAGAATGCTGTGTATAGTTAGAACATCTATATAAACTGTTGAAATGAAGAAGACAACAAGCTTTCCACACCAGTAATGAGTAAGCTAGTGTTACTACCTTTAAACTGCGGTTAGGAAGAGGATGCAAGGCATTAGAAAATGACAATAGAAGTGCAAAATAATAAAATCCAAAGTCACAAACAAGTTCTCAAAGAGATGTCCGAGCAGGACCCTTCCATAAACAATAAAATGGAGTCTGTAGAGCAGTTTTTAGGCTGAGGTCACAAATCCTCCTTTGACCCTAAGTATTTAAGATAAAAGATCCTCAAAGTAGAGAGATTAAAAGGCCACAATGTTAGCAACTGTCTTTGATAAAATCCAAATTTACACCATCTTACTAAATATCGTATTCATATTAAACAATTGCAATATTTACCTACAAAGAATTAAGGCGGATTGTACCCAAATAAGCACAATATAAGGATGAGTTACTCTAACACTTACTAAAAGTCCAGAGAAGTTGATATGGATTCCAATATGTCAAAATCCCAAATGTTTCATGACTAAGGATGAAAGCAATTCAAGAATGTTTACATTCTAACTAAATGAGAGAGACACTGTGCTGTGATTAATAGAAACTTTAACCTCTTAATGATCAGAATGGAAAGTGTTCTTGTATTGAACTAGAAGTATGTGAGAAGTAATATTGGGTAAGTAATATGTATGTCTTCCTGAAAGAAAGGTACAGTTTTCGGTTGGAGAGTAAAATTGTTTGGAGAGATAATCGCCTGTGGTCCATTAATATTACTGGCCGGCTAACATACATGCCTCCTTAAACTAGACAGAAACTTTTGGTGATACTAGAGTCTAAGACCATAAGTCATAACAGCACATATCTTAATCAAGTCTGAAGAATTAGTTTTTTGAATCTTGCTACTCGCTACTCAATTTCTAATCCAAAACGGGCTCCAAAACACTACCCCTACTAATAAACCCTCCTTTGAACACCCTGCTATTGTGCAAATTCTCCCACTTTGAAATCATGGAGGTGTCTGAAATTGTCATCGAAGGTGCATGTCCACTGTGAGAGAGTTGGGATGAAATAATGACGGACCTCTCCAAGCCAAAACAGTAACATCCATCCTTCCCCTTTCTGTCTGATGCTTAATAAGTGCTCAGCTTGGGTGAACTAGGTAGAATAGAGAGTTGTGTTTTTGTTCTATTTGAAATAAGCTTTCTGATTCAACTGCTGACGATTTTAAAGAATTTTAGAATTTTAAACCCCTCTTCCTTTTGTTTATTTGTACTTATTTTCAGTAGTGTTTAGTGTATGCATATTTATTAGATATAATAATACTGTGATTATTAGCTAATAAAGGTGCTATTGTATGGTGGTCTTATGTATTTATTTTATACAGTGAATGATTAATTAATTGGATTTATTCTTCTTTCACTAATATCCGTATGAACGGAGACACATTTATTTGGTTGGTGATGAATAATTTTGCTAATAGCCATAGTCTAACTTACTAAACTGGGGAAAGACAACTGAATATAAACAGCCGATTCAGGAGTCCAACCTTTTATGTAAGAGACTAAGAACCATGGCCATTAAGGAAATTACAGTTATAATCATTCAGCTAATAATAACTAATTAGTTTTACCCTTGATTTTAATGACCTATTAAATAACTAAAACTTCCAGTTGCAGTTAATTAATATGTTTATAATATTCTAGTAAACTTGCACAAAAACTTGCACAACATAATCTAAAAAAACTTCCACAAATCACAATATATAATTTTTTTTAACAATTTATTTGTATGAAACAGCTGCAAATTAGTATTTGAACACCTGACTATGAGCTAGAATTTTGACCCTAAAAGACCTGTTAGTTTGCCCTTAAATTGTCCACCTCCACTCCATTTATTATCCTAAATTACATGCACCTGTTTGAGGTCCTTAGCTGCATAAAGACACCTGTCTGCCTCATACAATCAGTAAGAAAATGACTACTAACATGGTCAAGTTCAAAGAGCTGTCCAAAGACTCTAGAGAGAAAAATGGAACCCTCCACAGGCTGAAAAGGGCTATGGGGAAAAGGTCAAGCAGCTTGGTAAAAAAAAAAAGGTCCACTGTTGGAGCAATCATCAGAAAATGGAAGAAGCTAAACATAACTGTCAATCTCCCTCGGACTGGGGTTCAAAGCAAGATCTCACCCCGTGGGGTCTCAGTGATCCTAACAAAGGTGAGAAATCAGCCCAGAACTACAAGAGAGGAGCTGGTCAATGACCTGACAAGAACTGGAACCGCCGTTTACAGGGTTATTGTTGATAGTAAACTAAGAAGTTGAAAAGTTAAAAAACATACCACTAAACTTAATCTTCCAAGTTTGAAGACATTTCCAGTTCAAATGTCTCGATTAGCGTTGAGTTCCAAGCTTTGTAGAGTAGCTTAACAGCTACTAAGCTTTGTAGAGTAGCTTAACAGCTTTTCTAAGCCTTGTTATGGCTTAGAAAAAATGCAAATTGAACCAGAAGAACAGGTCCAGCCCCAAGAAATGAGGAGTCATTGAGGTCTTTGTTAGCCTGCAAAACCCGATACTGGCCTATGCCTCTGAAAAGGGGAGTCGTTGGGGTCATTGTTGGCCTGGCTGAACAGGTGAGATGTTTTGGTCCCCTGCATGGAGATGAGGGTGGAGATGATAGAGGGAAGGAATTAGCTCTTTTGCTACATTGTAGGTTTTTGAAAGCTGAAACCTGAGTCCACCTCCTCTGTTTAAGGTTGGGCTTCCTCTCTTAACATAAGTGGCTTCGTTTACACCCCTCTCAAACCACCTGTCTTCTTTGTCAAAAATGTGAACAATCTGGTCCTCAAATGAATGTCCTTTGTCCTTCTTTCTCTGTGTTTCCTTTCCCTACTTTTCTAAATCTTAGGGATACACTGGTTCAGAACTTTGAGCTACTAAATAACCCCAACACGCATGTTATGCTTCCTCCCACCTGCAAAATTTTTAAAGAATAAAGTATTTATTTTTCTTTCATAATAATCAAGGACATTTTACTTGCTTTCATTTCCCTGAATCTGTGCTTGATTACTGTAATGATCCCTTTTAACTGTCCTATTCAAGAGGCAAGGAAACAGCTCAGCTATTCCAAAGCAGAAAGAAATCTTAACAAAAAAAAATCTGACAAATGCCATTAGGTTTATGTTGATGCAGATTTTAAAAATATTTTTTTTAGTCAATAGTCTGGTAAGCAGCAGTAAATGTATCAAAATAAGTAGTACAGATCATTTTATCAGCATTCTACAGATGGATTTTTGTCTTTAGCTTCATTATTTGTTTAGAATTATAAATAATCGAAATATTTACAGATGCTTCTCAATACATTAGATTATCATCAAAAAGAGCATTTATTTAATTAATTCAAATCAAAAACAGAATATTTATTTACAGATAAATTTTTCACATAGTAGTTAAGATTAAGTTTTATTCATTTTAATTTTTGTGGCTAGAGTCAGCAGCTTCAAAAGGCAGAAAATATGAATGCAAAAAAAAAATAAAAAAATCGCTGTTCACACAGAGCTGTATGCCAGCTTAATCATGGCCCGTTTAAAGGAAGGAATACTTTGGGAATAAAAAAAAAATACAAAAAAAAACCAAGCAACATGGACAACAGTAACCTTAAAAGGTTTGTGTCACAAAGCCATTAAAGACTTTTGGGCTGCATGGACTGTAGCTGGACTCAGTGCTTTAACAGCCATCAAAGACAGATGTACCAAGAACACAGGCTAAAACATTGGCTTTTTTCATTTAAAGCTACTTCAAACTCAGATACGATGCCAGAAACCATTAATTCAAAAATCGATGTTCCAGAGTCTGGAAGAACAGTTAAGAAGCAATTTTCAGAGATGCTTGACATCCAGTGTGAAGTTTCCATAGTTACCAGTATTGTTTTTGACAGCCATCTTAGATTAAGTCTTAGTCTGAGGCCGTTTCTTAATATGTGTATTTGTGCGTTCTCAAGTGCTCGTGTACTCGTGAAACGTCATCAACCTCAGCCCTAATACTGTTCCGATTCACAAGAGCAGCAGACCAACATCAAAGTCCCTGGATGTCCCCTCCCTATTTACTGAGTATGCATCAGAGCAGACTTGACCGTTCTTGAGCTTGACAGCTGACCCAGCATGCACTGCGGCAGCAGCAGCTTTCAATGAAGCGCTCTATTGAAAGTTCAAAGTTCTCTTTTCTGTTGCTTTTTTTCAATAAAAGTACATTTTAAGATAATTTGAGGCAAGAATATTTTACTTTAAAGCGTCACTATATGGTCTATTTACCGATTTAATGCGTAATTAAAAAAACTATTTCCAAAGTTGAGTGGACCGCAGCAACCAGCGGACCTCTGAGGCTAACGGCAGCCAGGGCTAACCGCAGCCCATCTGCAGCGCCCTCTCTCGGCAGAGCTGTGTGTGAAGTACCACAGGCTCTGATGGGGATTTTCTTTTTGTTTTATTTGGAAAAAAATTTAATTTGATTAGTGTTTATCTGACTGTGTTAATTATTATTCCCCCACTAAAGGGGGAATATTAGGGAATAATAGGCTAATCTAGAGCTGAAATGCAGCTCTAGGCATGTAGTATGAGCCGGGAATGAGGTGACATCACAGGTACGCTTCTGTTCCAATTGACCCATGTTTATGCTGCGTACTTCTGTTCTCACCAAGTCCATACTTTACTGTGTTCTTCTCAAGAACATACTTGGCGAGGACACGAGTCCGTACTCACGTTCTAGTGAATTTAGAAACAACCTTAGTTTTCAGGACGAAAAGCATTATTAGTCTTAGTCGCATTTTAGTCATTATGATATGTGATAGTTTTAGTCGATTTTAGTCGACTAAAACTTAAAAAGGAATTAACAACCAGATTCTTCACCGGACAGACAGCTCTTGCATGGATACTACAATTGTTGGGTATGGAATGCTGCCATGCAGTTCATCATTTTTGTTGGGCAGAAAACTTTTATAGACTTCAAATAAACCTTTTAATGAATTAATGCCCTACTTTATAAAAAAAAGTGTCTCACAAAATTTGTGAAAATAACAGATCTAGTTCAACACATTACATTGTTTAATGTAGCAGACAGGCAAGCTGACGAAATGTACAATAAAGGAATGGTTTTAGATATAAAAGGTTTCCATCGCAAAGCAAACACTTCCTGATCTACTATAAATTATGCATTACACACATATCAATAATATCTTCATTACTACCAAAGAACAAAAACATTATTCTTTCTACCCTGCAATTTTCTGAGAATTTGCCCCTTGGATATCACTGCTCAGGGGTCAAAATAGATTTAAATTCACAGGGTTTTGGTATTAAAACAAATACAGAGAGAACCTGTAATGCCATGGCAATCCAGACCTAAAATGAATGAATATGCTAACTAAAATGTTGAAATATTTAAAGGAAAGATAGAAAATGTTTTAATAACAGTACAAGGAAACCTTTACATCATATTTAAATAGATAGAAATGAGAACAATGAGAGAGAAATATTCGAAGATCTATATACCTTTTCATCTGGGTCTCTCTGCAAAAACAAACAGAATGCAATGAAATATTTTCTTTGGATATTAGTTAGGGATTCCTTTTGGTAGAAATTAAAGAATGTTTAGTATCACCTCTTGTTAGAAATAAAATAAAATCTTGATACTTAGAGAAAAGTATCTAAGTATCACCCCTTCTCCTCCTCCTACAATATGGAGGCCGTCAAGGTACAAAATGGCTTCTGCAAAGTCTACATGACCTTTCTTAAGTGATGGTTTGTTTACATGGATAATTCTATCAATCGTATTTTATCCGGTCTATATAGGATATAGATATAAAACAATTGCCATCATGGCTTTGTCCAGCTGCTGCCTACCTTGGTGAAGCAGGAAAAAGACTAATACAAATTGAACCCAGTAGAACTTTATATTGCCCAGTAGAACTTTTTATTGCCTACCTAGAATGGGTGACAATAGTTGAATAAACTTTTGTCTCTCAAAATGGTATCGGTGCCCTATTTGTTGGTACTCGCCGATACCAATACCACCTTTTTAGTGCTGGATCGGGGCCCCGTCCGATACTGGTATCAGTATCGGTGCAGCAATAGTTATTGCACTGTAAATATGACAAACTTTATATTTTCTAAGTGTTTTGTGAATAAGTGTTTTATAAATGAATCAGGTAAAAAAAAAAAAAGGCTTGCACCTGTGTTTAGGTATATATCGTGAGGACTGAGGTGGATTAGTGGGATGTGTGTTATTTGGTCATGCCTTAAAGTCTAGCTTGTAATAACTTAAAACCTGACAAATCGGGATGAAGTAAAGGAAATAGGAAAAGGAAATATGCATTTCAATCTTTGAGCCTGAAAGCAAAAACGTGCTGAGGTTTGTGTGTTTTAGTAAGGTGAAACATTTTGTTAAGTTTGTGCCAACAAATCACTTGTGATAAAAGTGAGCAGAAGTCCTTGCTCTTACCCATGGTGAGTTTGACTGGTTGAGTTGGTTGAGCATGACGACTGCTGTGCAACCATAGTCGAAAACCAGCCTCCAAAAATCTGCTGTGGTTCCAGGCAAAGGGTGAGGGGTCACAATGAAGGCAGCCTGCCGGTGGAAACTGTCAGCGAGAGCCGCATTGATGTAGTTATTGCTCTCCCCTTCTGTAGTGACCAGGAAGGCAAGGGCACGATCAGGAGGCAACACGTCCATGCTGCGATTCTTCTCTCGGTTTCTGGGCAACAGAGCGATGCTGCACTCTTCCACATCCAGATGGGGAGTCACAGAGTTCAGTGTCTACAAATGGAAATGTTAAAGCAGAGCATTAAAGTAAAATCAGTGATCAATTTAGAAAAAGACTAAATTAAGAAACAAGGTAGACAATAAATCTAACAAATATGGACTAAAGCACCATTTCCAGTATAAAATAATGTATCAATTGCTGTTTCAGTGATGTAAGGAGAATGGTTGGGATTTCTGCAGAACTAAGGAAAAAAATTATTGAGAATTAGCCGAAATAAAGCACCTAAAGGTCTGGTTCCCGTTATTCAAATAATTTAGATTTCTCAACACATAATATGACATTTGTTTCCAGAAAAATACAGGTAGGGGTTATTAATTATGTTATACTTTATACATATAAACAAATGCATATACAATATTTGTTATTGTATTTCTAGGTGGGATTAATAAAGTATTTTTGAATTGAATTGTTGTGTGATTTAACAATTCTCATTCATGTCTGCTCAGACCTTCTTATATTTAATCAATCACTTTTAGCTTTATAATCCCAAAAGCAACGCTATTTTAGACATAACAAACAGACATTTGACACTGATAAATCCTTTATAGTTATAAGGTTTTTATCTATTTATAAAACATAGTGTGATTAAAAATAACAAAAGATGTTTAAAAGGCAAATAAGGCACATCTTGACAGTAAGTCACATTTCATTGCTTGACGGAGGTTGGCTATAATTGTAGATTCCATCCATCC